AGACTGGCCCATAGGGGCCTGACATGGGGGTTTGCTGGGAGTGACAGAGGCCTATATGGAGCATAGTGGCCTGACCAGGGGTGCTGGGAGTCTATAGAGGCCTGTATGGGCCTATAGGGGCCATAGGGGGCTGACACGGGGGATGCTGCTGGGAGCTATAGGGGCTAGGGACCTATAGGCTCCTAGTGCCAGGAGTGCACATCCGCGGCCGGAGCTGCCCCGGCTTCCGAGTGGGGAAGTGCTAATGCTCTTCCTATCAGTGCTTGCTTATTGTTTCATTTTATTTCGTGTTCCTTATTATTTATTAATTATTATTAATTAATTAATTACTGGTCGCAGGTAAGCTACAAAGCCCCTGAGCTCCCCAGCTGCAGGGCAATGTTTCACCGCTGTTGAGGCTGCGGGCTCCAGTTTATATAAAATTCCAGTATTGTGCAGCGCTCGATTACTCACAGCCTGTTCTAACGGGCCGGGGGGCTCTGCGCCTCGGTACAAGGGCGGCCGGAGAAGAGTCAGATTTGCCCCTTCTCCACCTCTCCTCTGCAAACGAGTTTTGACAAACCTCACTGTTGTTTTCCCCGCCCTATGGTAATTGCTGATTCTGTTTCTTGTGTCCATGTGTATAGCTATAACTAACTATTTACGTGGCAGCTGGCTAATTACTCCCGTGAGTCTGGGGCGTCGAGCATTGCCCTGCCTTTATCGTCCGGTCAGAGCGCTGGGGCCTGGCTCTGCGTGCTGGAGCGGCCGGCCCGAAACGCGAGCCCCGGTGCTGGTTCCCCCGCGTTCTCACGACCTGTTTTTAACACTAGATGGTGGTATCTTCATGAAGCTTCGACCTGCGGCTTGGCCGGTACAGCTCACGGCAGGAGAGCTCCCATCTGGCTAAAGAGCATCGGAGGAGCAAAGTGAGAGACCAGTGGTGCGAAAGAGCCGCTCGGAGCCCTTCGAGGGAGCGTCAAGGGGAGAAAGATGCATTTGGGGACGATGTGCAGGTAGCGTCCCGGGCAGCCCCTCTGCTCGAGGGTTTTGAGCTCATGAGCAAGGGCACAAGCACAGATTTTGATGTTCAGCCTTCAAACTCTTCCCAGGTGCTGTGTGAGGCACCCAGGGAGGTGGGTCCCCAGGGCAGGAGGGACAAGTCCCAGGAGAGCTTTAAGCACCCCGCTGAATATTTGGAGTTGGCTGCTGCACTGCACAGAGCATTTGGAGGATTTAAGCCGGGCCCAGGGGCAGAATGACTATTATTTTGGATTAGTGGGATGTTGCTTTGAATATTAGCCTCCTTAAAGGGAATAACTCTGCGGTGGCCAGAATTGCGGAAGCCCAAATACCCACAAGCCTCTATTTTAAGGCACTAACGAATCACTAGAGCCAGGCAGGGGGAGACTTGAGTGGCAGAGAAGGCACCTGCCTCCCCCAGCACGGCACAGCGGGTTAAGGGGAGAGCCAAAGCACCGTCAGGCCGGAGTATCCATGGGGCCACCCTTGGCCTCCCCTTGGCTTTTCGGAGCTCGCTCGAAACCCTCGGTTTGCACGGTGGCTGCCTGTAATCTGCTGTTGCTTTATTTCCTGTCTTGTTGCTGTGCAGAGGTTTCGCTATTAACATAAAAACTGAAGGGAAATTCCCTGCCCCAAAGTTTCTTTTACCGAACTTTTTCAGTTGCGACTCGCCAACCCCGATGTCACAGAGCAGCCGACCGGCCCGGGGAAGCAGGGTCCCCCACCAGAGTAAGTTCTTTCCTTTAGAAAATCGAGCCTTTTGGTATTATCGGGTCACTGGCTGGGATGGGGCGAGAATTTTTTTTTTGCCAGATTAGACCAGCTTCTCTCCCTGGGAGCCAAGGGATTTTTGACGACACGGCTGAAGGCCCGTCCTGCCCTGTGTCACCAGCGCCGGCCTGAAACGGCTCAGAGAAGCCAAAGTGTGCCATTTCCCAAGGATTTTTCATTTTCTGATCGCTTTCTTAATCATAATTTGTGAAATATTTTTCAGGTTCCACAGGAAATTAAAATCTCCAGGCGCACTGTTATCCTAATGCCACAATAGCAATTTTGGGGGGAGGGAATTAAGAAGCGGGTGGCTATTTAAAAAACAGCATTAAGCACACCAAATCAATACAGGCTTGCTTGGGAATGAAAGCCCCCAGTCACACGCTTCATAATAATTAATAGGTATCGCTATATGTAACTTTCAGATAAAATATATCTTTTTCATCTGTAATTTGATGTGTTAGTAGTGGAGCAGGTTGCCTTGGAGGGTATATCCTCGGGTTTTTAAGAAACGGTGGGACCAAAAACAGAAAATGTAGCAAATACATTTAAACTACTGTCACGGCTTTGTTTGTAGCGTGAGAAGCGCGGAAAAACATCCTGCCCTGGAAAGGAGCCTTACCATTTTGTCAGAAGTTTTCTTTGTGCTTTCTCCGTTTCCTCCAGGTTGGTTGTGATTTCTGCCCTTCACCTGCAGCCGGGACTCCCCGTCGCCCTGCGTGCTGGGGGAGGCTTCATCGAACTGGTTAGCAAAGCCCGTATTTACCGTGCTAGAGCTTGAAACCTGGAAAATAAGACAGGAAGCAAAGCTGATTTGCATATTTATGCTAATGGAGATGCACGAACCTTTCAAATTAAAATGTACTTTGCAGATGGTTTGCAGATTAATGCCACGCTTTGGTTTTAGTTATTATTTTTCAGAATGGCAATAATTGGTGCAATATGGTAAAACTGGAAAGCCTAATCCACAATACAGCTGTTAAAGCAAGGAGAAATGTGCTGTGTACTACACGGCGATATTTATCTTAGTAGTAGAAATATTTGATTCAAGTGTACCATGTGGGCGTGAGCTCAACTTCCATTTGCAGAATATTTTCAAAAGCAGGAAGGGCAGTTTGGGGCTGACCATTGCAAAAGAAGGGGAGGTGTGCCTCCGCCTTTGAACATCTTTCCCATTTTGTGTTCATTTCCAGGGGTTTGCTCCCACACCACGCACAAAAATTCAATCTCGATGCACAGCCCTTGGTGACGTTTGCAGCCAATGCGAGAGCTGGTTTTCCACACAGGTGGAGCAGCTATAATAAACGCTTGGGAATTAGAGCCTGTTTTCTCCTCCCATTTCAGTGAATGGGAAATTCAACTTTCCAGGCAGATTTTGCCATAAATGGAGCTAGAAAGACTGTTAGTGACTTGGAGTTGTGATCTAATGGCAGCTCAGGGCTCAGAGGTGGAAGACCTCAACTTTGCCATGCAATCGTCCCCTGACCTTGATAGAATCACCTCCCTTTTCATTTCTTTCTGTATAAACTGCAAGAGAACTGGACAAGAGGTCACTTTCTGGGCAGCCCGACGCACACAAGAGCCCGAATCCCTGTGGATCCCACAACACGACTGAGCGCGATCCTCCCCGTTTCGCTAGCCCCAGGTAACCTTGGTGGCTCCTTGCTGCCGTTCCTGCTTTTAGGAAAAAACCGGCTGGTCATGCCCTCTTTTTTCTTTCTCCTGAGCAGGTGCGATGGAGGTGGAAGAGGTCTTCTTCCAGCTCTGCGAGGAGGTTGCCAGGCTGCAGGAGCTGTGTGTGAAGCAGGGCAAACTCCTCCGGAAGCTGACTGCAAGGAAGGGACCTGTCCTTGGTAAGGAGCGGCATTGGGAAGGGTCCAGTGAAATCTCTTCTTTGCTAAAAAGAGGCTATCCAGGCCGGCAAGAGGGATTTGAACCTTTTCCCTCCTGCTGGCAAACAGTTTGCTGCAAAAAGTGGGGGTAACCTGACATCTGGTTTAAAACAGAAACATGCTCTGAGTTATGGCCGCTCTGCAGCCTGCTTGCTGCACTGGCTATCACAGCTTTTTAGCTTCACCTGCTCCCTCAAACACGTAATAACATGCACATGGCTGTTCGGAGTCATGTTAAAACCCCCAGAGGGGTTGTGCTGCTGTTTACCCGTCTCTCCCTGCGGGAGAGGGAGGAGGAACTCGGGGCAGATGATCTTGATGTTGCCTAGAGCATTTCTGGAAAGCGGCAGGGTCTCAGGGTGGCAATGGAGCCTCCACGGGCTAGAAATCCCCTGGGGAAATCTCCTTGCCCTCCCCAGCAGAGATTGCCTGATTTTCCAAGAAATAGCCCTCTCGATGCCCTGGCCCATGGAGCCAACAGACGTGTTCCTTGCTGCAACAGTCACATCACTCCCACGGGGCTTTACAAGTTTTTCCCAGTGTTAAAGAGTGTTTTCTGTGGTGAGAAGGGCTGCCGTGTGCTGCGAAAGTGGCGGCTGGGCACCTTTGCCTGCTTTCCACCCCTGCGGTCCCCGGCTTTTGGGGGGTGCGGTGATGTCTCAGCATCTGCTCTCCCAAGGTCAAGACTCTGGCAGTGGCTGAAACGCCTCCTCCAGCTCCCAGCCCTTTCTGGCTGTCCTCTGATGCCCTTCCTTCACTCATCCATCCGTGTATTTCCCCATAGCTGTGGGGAAAGATAAGCTTTGCCTGCTGGCTCCCCAGCAAGGAGGTAATGCCCTGTTGTTTTGATAGTGCAAAAGGAGAAGGGGAAACCCAAATGTGTGCCGTAAAGCCAAGCAGTCCCAGGAATAACTGGTCCCATTCGCTTTCTTTTGAAGATATCCCCGTGTCACTGCCAATCCAGTGCACGGAGGATATGGTAACGGAAGAAGCGGAAAAACCCTCGGAGAGCCAAAGGGAATGCTCTGAGGCCCCGACGTCTGCCGCAACTGGCCCCAGCTCTGCCCATCCACTGGCACAGCCCCACGCTGGCGTCGCGCTGCCCGCCTGTGACATCACGGACCCCCCGAGCACCGAAAATGCCTGCGTATTAAGCAATGGGAACGGGAAAGCAGCCCTTGCCATGGCTTTTGGCAGCCAGCACTGCAGTAAGGCGGAGAGGAGCGAGAAGGGGGATTTAGACACGTGGCTGAAAAATTATAGGATGCTTCCTACCGCAAAAGCCGGCAAGGAAGAAGCGAGGGCTTGCTGTAACCTGCCAGAGTTTGCAGCGCCCAACCCAGAGGCCATCGACTCCTTCCTGGACCTGTACGAAGCCCCACAAGACCTTCAGAGTGAAGACGCATCCGGTGAAAGCGCTCTGCCAGCTGCGACTCATGTTCCTGTAGAAATCCGAGGACCTGTGAAGGTAAACTGGGAGGCCAATGGGGATTTTTGTCTCTGACTTTTGGGGTATCCTTCCCGGTGTAAGTATCATCTGTCAGTTTTCAATATCCTCCTGATTTGCACATAAACCCTCGTGTAACATGTGGGGAGCCAAGGCAGAGTAGATGTTTAGGGTCGTGAGCTTGTGTCCTGAAAATGCCTCCAGGCACCCAATTTTCTGATTCCTGGGGCAGTTAGCTACATAAAAGCAACTGTGATCTAGCTGCTAAGCACCTGATGCACTTTTGGATAAAAATTTCTCCCTTGATCCTTTCTGATTCAATACTTTGAAGCTATTGGCTCAGTCTCTGGGAAAAATTGTATTGGCCTCCTTTTGATCTGTAAATGAGCTCGTAAGTATTTCCTTTATTCTCTCTGATTTGTGTGCTGCCAAAATGATGATTCCTAAATACATCCTAAAATCTACCCCCTCAATCCCCATGCTAAGCCTTTATAATCTGTGTTATGGATGGGTCACTGCAGCTGGACCACCGCTGAAGGCTCTTGTAATGCCAAGCCTGATTCCTTTCACTCCTTTTCCAAAATGAGGCCCTTAAACAGTATTTTGTGACTGTCATGGCCACATATTCCTGGCGAAAGCTGTTGACTTTCAGCCTGATCTGTGCTTAGAATCTAGTTTCATTTTAAGAAGGAGGAGGGGAAGAAAAAAAGAAGTGGAAGCTGTGGCTGTCTTGTCAAGTTCTAATGTGCCTTATCAGCGCTTAAATGATAATGGCCCAAAAGGAAATTACAAATGCTCTCCCCATTCGCTTCTTAAAAGAGCACTTGATTCTCATATTTGGGGCCCGGATAATGATTGTAGCCACCAGGGGAGAGCGATGGTCGAAGGGAGATGCTCAAGTGCCATAAGAAGCTAGGAGAAGGCAGGTGAGGATGGAGCAAGGGGGGATGGAGCAGTGCCGGGCACCCAGACTCTAGCACAGGGCAGCAGCCCTTAGCCCTCCCGTCTGCAGCCACAAAACGTGGTGGCTGGGTTTGGAAGTGGATCTGAGGCTGTGTTTCGGTGTGGCAAACCTGGGACGGAGGCTAGACTCGTTTGGGAGCTTGCAAAGGGGCTACATCGGCCGTTTTCACTGACTGCTCTTTGCCTTGCAGACGTCCTGGATGCCAGCATGGATGCTGGAGGAGAGCCTTGGGCAAGGCACTGTCCTCACCTCGGAGGCCATGCGAACTTGTGACTTTTGCCAGGCTATTTTCCCTTCGGACGCAACAACCCAAGCAGACTATTTGAAGCACCTCTTAGCCCATATGAAATAGGACTCAAGCTTCGAACTCATAAATCTCTGTATTTGCACTTCAGCTAACACCACGTGCCCTGGGATCCCTTCATGTGATCCTGCTGCTGGCTTTGACTGGGGTCTCTCAGCTCAGGTAGCGATCCTCTTCCATTTAATTTGGTGTGCCGCAACCCCGGTCCCTGTTGCAATGTTTGATGGGCCATATTAGGGCTCTTAATATGCCTTGGTTTGCTGAGCTTCGTGAATGTCAACCAGCTTCTGTCCCGGGGTTTGGACATGTGTGGGGCTGTGTGCAGGCTGAGGGGAACTTTAGCTCAATGGGAAATGGAAAAATTTCCAAATTCTCCTAAACCAGAAGAAGTTAAAACAAGTTTTCCATAATGACATAGGGATATTTGAAGAGCCACGTTGGCTTTTTCCAAAAACATGGAAGATCTGGTGAGAGGCTGAGAGACTCACAACAGTTTTTAATGTCACTAAATCCAAATTTGCCTATGGAGCAGAGCCCCAGCCCCGGTGCTGTGAGCGTGAAATGCCGCCCGCCTGCGGCAAGGGGGACCGACATGAACCGCATTTAACTTCCAAGTGTGTTGGCAGGGGAAGGGCGTAACTGAGGGCTCTTCTTCCTCCTCATTAAAACCTCATCAGCTCCGGCTCAGTGGCTTGTGCAAGTTTAATTGATCCCTCTCCAGGTGGGAGGAGGCTTATCTGCTCCGGGCCGCGTGGGGTCCGTGCTCCCAGCCTGGGGCCTTCTGTGTTTACAGAGCGACGGAGCGGAAACGAGCACCACCAAGCCTGGCTCCTCCAGCGCAGGGACGTGACCGCCACGCGTGTTATTATCCTGCCTTTCTGTTTAGTCTCTTGGGGAAAATATCTTTCGGGGAGCCGGTGGGTTGATACGACTGTCGGATTCGGGGGAAACAGCTTCTGTTCCTGGGTCTGATCCTTTGCCTGAGGATAAAACCTTGCTGAGCAGCAATTTGCCGTGGAGCATGTTCACCTGCAAGGTTTCGATCTTGCCCAGGCTCCTAGGAGCAAATTCATGGCGTGCGAATTCATGATACCTGAATGAAGATTATAGTCATTCATGAATAGCATATGTAACTTGGCTCTTATACAGCATTCTCCATCACTATATATCTGCTTTGCAAAGGAAGATGCCTTTGGAGGTGGGGAGAGTGAGGCACAAAGCAGTGACTAGCTCCAAATCACCAAACAGGCCTTTTTTGAAAAACCTCATTTCAGGACTTTGTGTTTAACAAGTAGCCACCGAAACATGATGTCATGTATTTGAGGCTACTTCAATGGAAATGACGGCCCAATTCGCCTTTGTTTCCATGCATCAAGACTAATTCCGATCTCCAGCTAAGGAAATTCATCTTCAGTGGCGCAGATAATAATAACGACCCAATTCCCTTCCCAGAAATGTGGCAGATTCATGAATTTGTCATAACCGCAGCGGAGATGATGACAAACGTGTGTTTCCTGAGAATATTGTAATTTTAGAAAAGGCCGGGGCTCATCTGAACGGGGCAGAGCTCTGGGATGGCGAGAGAGCGGTCCCTGATTAAACCAGACTTCTGCTGGATGCAAAGGTTTTTCTCTGGCTCGGATGCGCTGTCGAGGCCTTGATGTCCGGGGCCGGTGCGGATGGCCGGGGCTGGCACGCTGGGGGCTGCGTGCCCGGGCCGTGTGCAGCTGGCAGGGTGCAACCGTGATTTCTCCAAATCCCCAGGCTTTCACTAGGCGACTAGGGTCTCATTTTTGGCACGTGAACCACCGCTCCGAGGACCGTTTCCCAAGATGAAACCTCCGATGTCTTCATTTACAGCCACAGCTTTGAACTCGATGCTGCTTCTTGCGCTGGCGATCGTAGAGCGGCTCGTTGCCCTGAGCAGAATCAGGGCCTTTATTTTGCTGAAGGTCAAAGTGAGTTTTCTAATGTCACAGTGCAACTTTTTGAATTGCAGATACAGCTCCAACAGCGAGAAATTTCCTCTTGTGGTGACTTAGCATCATTTTATAGCGCTTTGTGCTCTTCTCTAGGGCCTCGAAGATAAGATCGTTTTGCGGCGTGCTGAGTTGCTGGAAGTACCAGATCAGAAAGCTAGCCGGAGCCGTAAATTTGTTTAGTATAAAATTTTAACTAGCATCCAGAAATCGCCAGAAGGAAGAAACCAGCCCAGTTCTTTCTGCTTTGAAAACAAGTCCAGTAAATTGAATTTAAAAATTGCAAGCACACATGGTTTTTCTCAAGAGCCAGACCAACGCTGGCAGCTCGCTGGCCCGCGGTTACGTTTCCGTACGGCGCCGGACCCGACGCAGCCGGTCTGTGCGACGAGCCCGTGAAGTGTCCGTCTGTCCGTTTGTGCACACCGCTTTGCCCAAGACGCCGAGCAAAATTACGCTGGGGGCATTTGAGGACAGCTCGGACGGGTGCACGGCATAAGCGCGCGCCGAAATTTCGGCCCTTCGCCTCCCCCGGAGCTCTCCTGTGCTCGCGCTCGCTGATTCAGGGTGTTAAAGCAGCTCAAGTTCCAGGCAAACTAACTTTATTGCTTGGACTTTTTTCACCAGACTTTGGTATATTTTTAAATGTCATGTTGTAGAGTGCAATTAGTCACCCCCCTTGTAGCCAGATGGTCCACAATGACAGAGAAGCTGCTTTTTTTAATCCCACACTTTCCATTGGCATGAACATGCCTTTGCTTCCCAAATAACCTTAAGTATAGGGTATTTGTCTTAACTGCAGAGAGTAGGTGGTGTGTTTTTGTTTTTCACCGGCTTTGGCTCACCATAGCCGAGGTGGGTGTCGTTTCTGAAAAGGCAGGAATTGGGTGATGGTCGTTTCCAGGAAGGAGAAACAGGAAAATCGAGGCTGGATGCACGGGACTAAATCTACTTTTATGCTTGCTGCTGCATGTATCCATAGGGCAAATTTACAGGAACATGTGCGCGCTCTCCCAGCTCTCATTTCTAGTGGGAGCGTGAGCTTTCTGGATTTGCAATGGCTTACGGTTCAAGCTGGAGCTAGTCAAAAATGCTTTCCCTCCCCTGCCCCCCCAATTCAACAGAAATGTTTTTTGGGGAGGAGGGATATTTTAAGTTTTTCCCGGAAAACCGAGGCTTGAAAAAGCTGGAGAGAGCGGCAACACGCTGTTTTCTAGGGAAAAACAAGCCTGCAAAAACACAGCTGAAAAACAGATTACGGTGGAAAACGTTGAGATGTGGAGATTTTTGCTAAAGGTGGGACAGGGCTGTGTGCTGGGGGCATCGCCGCAAACGCCCACCAACTCCCGTGTCGGGCACCGCTCTCTTTTGGGTTGGCATTTTCAAAGGAGCTTAAAGAAATTAGGATCCTAATTTCCATAGGCCAGAGGCTGAGGAAGAGATTTAATACCCCTAATGGAAGAGTAATGAAATATTTAAATCCCTTATAGCAAGAACAAAGCCAATATTTCTGGAAGGAAAAAAAAAAAAACCCTCTCTATTACAGTTGTCCCCAATCTCTTGATTAGTTCTAGGAATTTTCATCGCCGATAAGTGGAACGGGGACCGTCTCCTGCCCACCTGCAGGGTGGACCCATCTGTGCCACCTGCAATTATAGGAAATCGCTAATGGTCCCGTTAATTAATAACTTGCACTCTATTTTCATCTCCCGTTAACGGAAGATAAATGTTTCTTTGTCCCATTTCATTAGGAAATGAACTCGCAGAGTCCGAGCCCGGCGCACGAGGCAAAAGACGCACGTTTGAAATCAATTTAACAACTTTAAAATCTTGCAATTGGAAGTATTTTAGCTGAAGTCGTAAAAGCTGAGGGCAGTATCCGGGGCCGGTTGTTCTGGATGGACGGGGTTCGGTGTTGTCAGAGCCGGCCGGCTGTTCACACCCTGTATTTTTGCTCCTAACGTCTTCCCTCCCCGCTACGTTTGGGACCCGGGAAAGCTCAGGAATGAAAAAAATCGGTCCAAATGTATTACTTAAGCTGCATTTTCTTGCATTTCCTAGGCCTCG